TTTATAAAACTTAAAACTTCAACGTATAAATTTTAAAATTTTGTAATTTCATTTCCTCACCTAGACAATAGAATTTAAAATTTCTTTTGAATTTGTTCCATAATTTTCAAGAAAAAACTAGTTTTTCAGGAAACTCTTTTGGCTCTAAAACCTGTTCTTAGCATCGGAAGTTCGAAAACAATAAGCCGTTTTGTAGAGAATTGAATGCTCTATCGATCAGCATAGTTCTAGATTTTTTTCAAGAAAATGTCTAGGTGAGGAAATTGAAATTACAAAATTTTAAAATTTATACGTTGAAGTTTTAAGTTTTATAAATCTTAAAACTGATTTTCGTGGTCAGCGTGAAAAACTGCATCTAGTGATGTGCCTTTGAATTTAATTAGATAGAAAATTGTTTTTGAACAGTCAACAGCTACAGTTCTCAACAGTTCTAGTTAACTGGAAATGGTGCATATCTAACCAATACTTGTGCCATCTAAAACAATAATGAAATTCAAAACTTTTTTGGAAATCTTAATAAAAAGTTTAGGCGAAGGTAAGCAAAAACGTTGGGCACCCATCGTAAATTAAACTATTATTTACTTTATTGGGGTTGGATGACCTTCATTAAAGCGTTTTTTTAATGAAAGTACCGGGAACTTTCATTACTGATGATCATACTGATGTTTGAAAAAATGTTAGTATGAAAGAAGAGAGAAAAACTTATTATATGCATTAAGGTCGTCTCACGATCAACGACAATTAGTAATTGCTGAAATATGAATGCAGAACAGGTTTCAAATGGTAAAAACTGGCCCTATTAAAAATCAAAAGCAGTTAGTTACTCTTTCAAATGATAGTCTAAAAAACTTTGCTGGAAGATTGTTTTATTATAGGAAAACTTCAAAATACTGATCAAATCACGAAATACTCGAAATTACAACTAATTTCATTTGGGAAGTCATCGAAAACCATGAATATTTCTGTCGCTCCTTCATTTATTCCAAACAGTGACATATAATGAACTTTTGTTGAAATTTTTTTAATTGCTGCTATTTGCTGAACTGTACATACATTTGTTCTTTTCTTTCCTTTTGCAAGGCTTTATCCATCACGCCAAGTTGCATATTGAAAGAATGGACGATCTTTAAAGAGTAAAAATAGGAAATAATGCTAAAACAAAACGGCTTATATACAGCACTCATACATGTCATATTCTTTATGTTCCTGTTGAAAATTTAATCATTTGATTTCGGTCAAGATCAAAGTATGGTAGCTCTTCTTATAGGTCTAGAAGTCAACGTATCGAACCGCTGCTCTTTCATATTAGAATCGGATTGAGATCAACTATATTAAGTAGCAGAACAACTAACACAGTAGTCTATCCTTTTTTGTCTCTGTTGCAATAACAAACAACTACTTTCAAAGACAAAAAGTCCTGTAATCAAACATAACAATGATCTAACAAAATATCCATCGAGTTGTAGTTCGTTCTGGCATGTTTAAATCAATATCTTCATCTCCATTTTGAGGAATAGATTGATGGTGATTGTTCAATTTTTTATATGCAATAAAAATACTAAGTATAACACCAATTATTAATATAATTGCTACAAATGTCATCAAAAAACCAAACAAAACATTGCTCTTTTTTTTTGGAACTTTGTTAAATTTTATTGTTGATGTACTTGTCGTGGTTGATGTGCTTGTTGTGGTTGATGATACCTTATTATCCTCTGTTTTAATGGCAACTTGTTCATAATTTGGTGATTTATAAATAATAGGCATAACTGCCTCACAAAAGCCACATGTTTGTTTTCTTAAACCAAGAAACGATGAACAACGTACAAACTTGTCTGCATTTTTTCTTAAATAATCAATTAAATTTGGTTCTAAATGTATTTGATATTCATAAATCATTTGATAAATACCCACTGTTTGTCTAAATGATTGAACAGGAAACACATATTCATTAACCTGTTCTGTTATCTCAACAATACTTAACGTTGTACCAAATTGTTCTTTTATTAATGCTGATAATTCTACAAATAATTTTGATCCAAGTTTAACATCAAAACTATAAGCAAATTGTCGACTTTGTTGTTCTGATAGACCATAGACTTTTTTATGACTCTTTTTATATTTTGTTCCTGGTGATATTGTTGTACTTTGATCTAATTGCCAATAAGATGTTTGATTCATATATGTATTTGGATATGTTTTTTGATCAATCATTAATGTAAATAAGGGATCATTATTTTCATTTATTGATGACGCCCGTATAATTGGATGCTGAAATGAATTCAGTATTAGATTTGAACATTTTGATTTTAATGAACAATAACAGACTAATGGTATGTAACTCCATAAATTTCGTGTTATCTTTCTTGATTGGCTTCTCAATGGTAATAAACCATCAGGTGTCAACGTATTTGGTACGTTTAAAAGTTGATTGTTTTGAACTTTTACTTTAAAAAAACAAAATAAACAAAAAATCAATATTTTTTCCTCCCAAATAGGGACAGCCCATTACTGTTACCAACAATACAAATATTGTATATATTCCTATTGGTAATAGTAATATTCCATGTATTACTATTATTAGTAACAGTAATACTGAAAAGTATTCCTATTACCAGCAACAGTAACACTCTCAATATTACTGTTGCTGGTAATACGAATGTTCATAAAATTAATATTACTCTCCAGTAAAGTAATAGAAGAAAAAATTCTTTTTCGGAAGAATATTCAAAAGATTTCCTAACGTGTTCTTGGATGAATATTTCTACCAGAAAACTTTGAAAACTCAAACGAACATTTCTCTTTTTTTCCTGCTGAAATGTCTACTATCCTTTTCAAAGTATGAGGTCTGTGATTGTTTGTTGAGTAACTCGAGAACGAAAAGAGCTAGACCATTCGGGCTTTTTCATTCAAAACAAGATACTTTCAAGCATCTTTTTATAACAGACGTTAATTCAAAGCTTATTTTTTAAAGTAGATGTTCGAGGAGATCTTTGGGAAACTAGCTCATAGCTTAAAAACTTCAAGTGCGAACATTTTTCATTTTTCTTTATGAATAGATAGCTCAAAGTGTCCTATGACCTAGTTTCCCAAAGATCTCCTCGAACATCTACTTTAAAAAAAAGTTCTGAATTAACGAGTTAAGTTTTCTGGTAGAAATATTCATCCAAGAACACGTTAGGAAATCTTTTGAATATTCGTTTCAAAAAACTTTTTTCTTAAAATTAATACTAGTTTTATGAATATTACTGTTACTATTATCGGTGCCAAAACACCGTGCACTTGGTTGTTTTCTTAATACCTTTTAACAGAAACGAGATAATTTATGAGAAACTCAGGGCTCCTGATCAGCAGTGACTACAAAAATTTTCCGTACACCTCTATCCTCTGTTCTTTTGGTCATACATCGATAACGAAAAAAGCTTTTGACAAGCGGTTTGCACCAAAATATTCTCCGCTTTCTCTAGTATATTTGTAGATAAAAAAAGTTAGAAATATTCATTGTTGTTCTGTGTAGGCGCATTAGACCGGAAAACGTTCACTATGTCGAAAAACCGAGTTTTCACGAAATTGGCTTTTATGAAGTTGTGGTTGAGTGGGGAATGAAACAAACATAGCCACAATGATCAGCATGGTCGATTACCTATGATCCACATCAGAGACTGAAACCGGTCAACCAAATGTAACCCAAACCCTACTCGACCCAAAAGGGACTCGAAAATTTTCGAACTGTGATCCGAAGTAGACCCGGAACATGAACACATTCGTACACATCGTACACACTCGCAAAGAAACACTTCTTTCCTATAGAAAAGTTATCTTACTCAGATTATTTTGGAATTTTTTCAAAAAAACGGTCAGATTCCTTACGATTTCCGTCAGTTTTTCCTTTTATGAGCGGAAAAGTTTGGATAATTCAGATAGTTTATTTTATATTGACCTTAGTTAGATCGAAATGAGTCAACCAAACGTGACCCTATCCGACCCGACCCGAATCAATATCTTTTATGCTGGCCCGAACCCCACATGGCCGGACCCGACCCGACTCGACCTGTTTCAGTCTCTGATCCACATATTTCTGAGATTCTCAGTTGTGCCTAGAACGAGACAGATGTGTCCTCGGAAACGTTTATACCTCCGGAACCAAAGTAGATGGAGATCTGGGCCCTGCATAGTTTCAAAGAGAAATATTTTGGCTATCGACTGCTATTATTTGAGATTGGATTTCATAGTTTGGTTTGGGAGTGCTAAGCTTTCGGATTTTGCCTCGAAAGGTACACCATGGTAAACCTTATCAGGAGCCCTGATTTTCTGCTAGGTTTACGTCCAACAGTGTCTAGTTTCAGAATCTGAAAATCGCAGGTCTTTATCTCATTTCTGCCAAAAGGTATTAAGAAAACAACCAAGTGCACGGTGTTTTGGTGCTGATAATAGAAATAGGAATACATGGGATATTATTGTTACCACCAACAGGAATATCTTTCAGTATTACTTTCTCAGTAATGTAACACATGAGTAACAGTAATATGTCACTCCTACTCCCGAATAACGATAAATTAATATAACAAAGGTGATTCTACTAAACGTTTACACAGTCGGTGTAAAAATATATTCGGCTACTCAGAAAAAATGTTTTTCAAACTCATCTTCTCCTATAAATAAACGAAACACAAACATTCTTTTTATATCAACGGATAGAGCACAGTTTGGGCACGTTCTAGACGAATTTAGAGATTTTCAACTGCGTTATTTGTATATAAATTAAAGCGTTTCTTAAAGCTAATCAGTTTTTCGGACAGTTCAGTTTTAACAATTTTCTAGATAAGTTGAAGACAGATGAAGACTTGCTTTTTATACTGTTCGAAAGAACAAAGTCTCAGCTGTACAATGGACAAATCTGAAACTACTTGCCATCGTCTTCTTCTTCTGTTGTTTGATAAATACAATTATTTGATAATAATAAAAATATGAAAATAATTATTAAGTTCATATTTATACTGCACTCTTGAATAACCTTTTTGAAAAATGCAAATGGAATATGCAGTTGTAATTCGAAAATGTTTATTGTTCTTCATACATTTTTCTTTCTAAATGGTGTTTTTTTGTATACATTTAATCTTTTATAACAAAAAATTCGTAGACGATATAACGGTAAAGAAACGAACAAACTTTACTTTAAAATGGTTAAAATGAACATAGTGCATGAAAAAATGTGTTTTCACATTAAGAAGAAAGCATCTTGTAACGGTAACTGCTGTGGAATGTGTGTGGCATGTTGATCGGAGAGTGGAGATGAGTGTACAGCTTAATTCATTTATTTTCAAACAGTTTTTGTCAGTTGACTGTATTTCAACTGACAAAACTATTTGAAAATAAGTGACGGATCGAGAAGTGTCATCTTGTTTATTATTTTGTAAAAAAGAGAAACAAGTCAAAAATACCATCGTCTGTCGTCAGGATTTGGTCGTCCTAAAGTGTGACCACGGCTACGACTATCACTTTGATGATGAAATTTTTGAGAAATAATTCTGGCGGCTAATATTAATCACGTCTAGTTAACTGTTTTTTGTCAAATTAATGAAAAACTTACGAGTTTCTGGTTGAAAAGTAGATTGAATGATAATTTTTTACACTTCATTCCACAAGAGCAATAAAAACACTTCTAATTTTTATAATTACATAATTTTAAATG